AGCTCTAGAGCTCAAGAGACAGTACCCGGGTTTTAATATCATTCAGTACAACATAATCATCGATGTCCTGGGAGGGTACTCGAAAGACCTCAAGAAGAGCGTCAGGGAGCTTGTTGGATCAGAAAGGAGTACAGCAGTGTTAGGTAGAATGCAGAAGTCTGTAGTCAGCAGTTCACTCAAGATTGCAAGATCTTTAAAAGTCATGAGTTGAAGACTTCATCTTAGCCATGTGTTATTTTGTTGAGTTTTTAAGACATTAGGGACTAGCCACTAGAGTTTTTTTCTTTTTCTTTTTTTTTTTATCATTTTGTATTAGATTTTCTTTTTTCGGGGGGTACATATGTAAATTCTAAACATGTTAGCTGGCCACGTCCTAAACGCCCAGCTTTCGTGTATATAGGTTCTGGCATTCAGACGTTTAAACTGCCACATGATAATAATAATAACACCTTTATTTAGACACGATAATGTTTAAAACTAAACAGTTTGTGGGGTCGTGTATAAGTCTAAATAAACTCTAAATTAAATGAATTCAAATGATGATGGTTTTTGAGGAGAAGGGAAAACCGGAGTACCCGGAGAAAAACCTCTCGGAGCAGAGTAGAGAACCAACAAACTCAATCCACTTATGACGCAAATCGAACCCGGGACACATTGGTGGAAGGCCGCGAGCACTCTCACCACTCCGCCAACCCCGCTCCCCTGCTTTATGTTTGTTAGCCGTTTTAATTCGTGTTTCACTTGACAGGGTCATTGATACCTGATAAGGTAAAGTCTGTTTACGAGCCAAGTGGCCCATTAGGCCGGCGCTTAACTCCAGTTTCCGTAGCATGAAGCGATTAGGAGTATTTTACTCCTCCCTAGATGAAATGCTAGTCCATCGCAGGGTTAACCCCAGCATTAAATTTGCCGGTATCCAGTTAATCACCTGGGTGAAGAGAGGCACTGCGAGAGTAAAGTGTCTTGCCCAAGAACACAACACAATGTCCCCGGCAAGGGCTCGGACCTGGACCACTAGATCCAGAGTCGAGAGCACTAACAATAAGGCCACCGCGCCTCGCAGGGCCCTTGATGGGTCTAAACTAGTAAATTGGACCTTTTAGTTCATCATGTCAAGATGCAATCATCGTTGCTTTCTAATTATCTTCGTCTAGGTTAAAAGAAGGCCATTGTTTGGCCTTATCAAGGACTGATAACGAAGAACCACCCATGCATAATACCAACCTGGAGGCGGTGGTTAGTGAAGCCGAAGAAATAGGGAGCAGACAGGAGATATCTTTTGAAATGAGTTAACGCAAAACAAAGGAAGGTTCCAATCTTAAAAGACAATAGCTGAACACTGAAATATTCGCACATAAATAGAAATGAAAGCCCTAACATTCTGCAATCTCGCGGTTTGTGACAGGAAATTGAAAACTTAAGGTCGGTCGGACGGGAAAGATTGTTTTACCGTCCTTAACTCTTAATTCCCTTCTAGTGTTAGATCGAGATAATACCTGATAAGTTTGAGTACTCTTGCTACCTGTTTGCCGGATAGTGTATGGATATTATAGGAACAAGTTACATTTTAATCACTTCTGGGAGTTTAAGGGTTGAGGGAAGCATCAAAGCTGCATGCACGCGCAAGTATCGTGGAGCTACCAATTCCAAACCCCTCAACCTATCACAGACTCAACTTTTCTTGGTAGTCACGCCGTCAAAAACCCAGCTGCATTGCATTGATGACCAGTTAGTATTAAATCAATATACTCCTTTTGCGCGCTTAGTATTACCTGCAAACTGTAGCCTCATAACAAAAGTTTTGCCACCATTTATCCCAAGTTAATTGAGCAGAAAGGACAAAATATACTTCCGAATACTTATAAATAGATACCATGTTTGCTCACTGTGAACATAAGAAGAAATTAAAAAGGTACAGGTCACAGGTTGAAAGTTCATGAAGGATACAGTGAATCCTCTGGAGGCATGGACACATCACCATGATAAACATAGTGAAGGAGGGAGTTGAATGATTCTCGTGATGGAATCGTCTCGCCAATTGTAATCTAATGGGAAAAAGAAGAACATTTGCCTCTCTACTAATACGTGGCTTCGTCGTGTCCAACAGTCATCTGTTGGACACGAGTTTGCCCAACAGTCATCTGTTAGACACGAGTTTGCCCAACAGTCATCTGTTAGACACGAGTTTGTCCAACAGTCATCTGTTTGACACGAGTTTGTCCAACAGTCATCTGTAGGGCAGGAGTTTGAGCCCTGTCGAAGCCTGAATTCAGGCTTTAAATTCTGTCAGGTTTAAATTTGTCAAACTCGTGAACGAAATATGATGGTCATTATTTTTTAAGCTATCAAATTGTAATTTAAACTAAACTACAGATTCGCTTCCATGATGGGCCATATTACAATCGAAAAACAAACTGAAAATCAATGGGCACTCAAAGAAATCATTCACTTTGTAAAGCAGTGGCGGACAGTTTACAGATGAAATGAAATACTTTTGTAACACTTACTGTTACAGTGTTATTCTCGGGCATAAATGAACGAAACATTGCCTCAAAGTAACTGCAAAGAAAGCGAAAGGAAAGGAAAGAAAAGTAAACATCAGCGAACATAATCACCCCCTATCGGCCTCTTATCCAGACCTCCCGCTGCCGGTCGCTGCAGAGCAAGCCTGCCAAGCGGAAAGTAATTCAGTGAAACAGGTTCACTTGTCGGGTACGAAAGCCGAGAAGGGACTTCACACTTCATACTTCGCTCCTTGGCCCCAGTCCTCCAAGTTTTGTTAATTTTTCACTATTTCAATGTTAATGTTTCTTACGATTTCTTTTAAAGGACACAAGTAGAGCTGATGTGCTTAATTGAGTAAGGAGGAGTATTAGGAAAGTCTACTGAGGTGTTATTTCATCGACCGTCACATAAGTTACTTAAAATGGCGTCGAGATCAGTCAAGATGTTGATCGATCTGGTTTAAAAATACCGCCATGTTGAACTTCATTTCTCGGGAGTTCCCCGCCCTTCCTCTTCTCCTCGTTTTGCCTGCCTTGAAGAAGGCATAGTTGAACAACAAGTTTTGACGAGTTTGGAATCCATGCAATTGTAAGCTTCAACTATGACCACTCAAGCACATAAAGAGAATTAAGATAGGGTGTAGAAGAGCCTTATGAGTGATCCTTATTCAGCAATCTTAACCAGCCCTACAGAGGTCAAAAGAAGGAAAAGTCAAAATAGCTTACATTTCAGGTTCTGCTTAAGTATTGGATGATCTACAAACTAGCTTGTAATTGTGATAGAAGCCATAAATCTCGTAACAAAACTGAGACATGATCGAAAACTAAGAAAAAAGACTCAGAATCACAGAGTATGAGCTTTTGTTGATTTATGTTGTGTTTCAGTCACTTGTAATTGGGAGTAGAGATACAGGATGGTTGCCATGTATATGAAAAAGAGGCTCTGGTCGAAAAAAAAACAACAACCAGGCGGTTGTTGATCCATAATTTTCGTTATGCTATTGTTGAGATCTTTAGTTACAATATCCATAGACTCCGAAACTGACCATTCAACATTTGCATCATCGTAAGTAACACTAACAACGTTATATTCCGTTACAGTGGCAAGCTTTCATTAATTCTAGTTACGACAAGTTATTCTTAAGGTTATCCTAAATAAAAAGTTGTTGAAATGTCTTGGTTACAGGGCATGAAAATGCTACATATAGATAACATAATATTAATAATAAAACTGTTGCTTTATCTTAACTTGTTCTCTGCTTTTCCTATACGAGTCAACTCAAGACGAGGTTCGAAAGCTGATAAAATGCGGTGAAAGAAAACCGCAACTGTCAGATTAAGTGATCCAGTTTAAGGAACTGGATAATCTCAGAGTATAGTTTAAGAGCCTCGCGTTCATTTAAAGGTGGAGAATAATCTCGTTTGATCAATCTCACTAACTCTTCTATATCCTCGTTATGGTCGACACAATTCTCAGCATATATCTCTTTGCACAGATTTACATCCTCGATGTAGACATTTACCAAGTAGGTGTGTGTTCCATAGATTTCGGGTGTAAAAAACATGACGTCTGGTTTTCCACCTTCCACTTCCAGTCGTTGTCGTCGCTGAATGTTATGCGTATTCCACAACTCTGCTACAAGATACAATTTCTGGCGAGGGATAGGCAAGAAAAAAAATCTGAGACATTCCGTGACGAGGTAATCGTCATGGTACAAACCACAATCACGGAGGTCTTTAAAAAAGTTTATCCACCATCCCCCTCCACCCTCTCGAAATTTAGACCACCAAGCTTCTATGCGTTGATTTCCGGTGCTTTTTCCTTCGATGAAACTTCCACTTCCAGAAAAATGGTCATCGTCATGCCAACGAAAAAATTGTTGAAGAGTGCCAATGATTGTGTTTTCGGTTCCCCTGTCACAGCGCATCCTTCTTGGAACCCCTCCAAGTTGTAGAATAGCATNACATCCATCACACAGTAATCTCGTGTGTGGGAAATTAACGTCTCCTACCCCAACCCTGCAGGAGACGGGACCTCCATTTATTCGTCCTTATCCGAGAAGACTTGAATATCTAACCATTTCTTGATGTTATAGAAAGGTAGCAAATTCTTATTAATTATTTTAAGACCTTGAGTGTTGGTCCGGCCGGGGCTCGAACCCTCGACCTCCCGCACAACAGTCCAGCGCTCTATCCATTGAGCTAACCAGGAGGCTAGCAATTTCCAGCATTGACGCAGGTGCTTAACAAAAGCTTTTGGAAATCGAACACTTTAAATGGCACATAATTGGAATGATTTTCCTGATCGTACCAAGTTTGCCTCTTTGACTGATAGGTGGATAGAGCTCTGCCGAAGGCAGCTACAGTCGTTTCTCAATCGTCTTTCAAAGCAAATATGAGGCTCAACTCTGTTATTTGCTGGGGAGGGCCGTTTTGACCGCCCTATACTTAATTCCATGTTAGTATCTACAATACATTCAGGGGAACATCCCTTAACTGATAGTTTTCTTTTTACCTCTCGACCCGTTCGTTTGTGAAAAATTAAGGGTGTGAGATGCAAATCGAGATTGAACGCCTTACCTGCATCTTGCAGCCAACACTGCCTGAAGAGAAAGAATTTGCGGAGAACGGTGGTCGTTAAGAAAACATGAAACGAATTATCTCAATCTATGGGCATTCGATCTAAACGAGAGGGGAATTAAACAATAGCCTCTATATTTACTCCTTTGTGAATCTTAAGGGTCATTGAATATTTTGGTGCCGTAAAAATATTCTAAAACGGCCACTTAGAATTCTGGTCCCATGTGCGCCTCTAAGTCAACACAGATCTCTTTACAAAAAAAATATATCGACCTAATTGCACATTTATACGACCTTACGGCGAATCCGTTGGAGTCCGTACATTTATGATTAAATACGATTAAATTGTGGGCTGAGTGACAAAGGCTCCGTTGACGAGATAAGCCACAGACTAATTTTAAACAAGGAAAGTTATCAAGCCCACTTGCTGAGACGAAAATCCCAAAAAGTGTTGCTCTAAAAGTAAAAGGAAAATGACAATTCACAGCAACTTTGACTTACCTTGTGTGCTCCGATCGGTTCCCCGTCCACCATCAAAGTAATGTCATGAAAGTCCTCACCGCGCGCGCCCTGGAGAAACTCCATCATGTCTTGTTGTAAAGTCTTTTCTGAAAAGTGGAAAACGTTAAGAAAGATCATTGATAAAAGTGGCAAAGAAGAATGGAAAGGTTATAAAACGCGGCTTGTTAACAAGTACCTGGGTGCGTTGATCGGCACTGATTGTCTCCCGGAACATGAACCATCGCCTGATAAAAATGAAAGCAAAATAACAAATAAAGATGAAATAAACAATTTTTTTTTTTTAAAAATCGAGTTTCCAGATGGGATTTGAACCCACGACCCTCCGTGATCTAGTCGGATGCTCTAACCACTGAGCTACAGGAGACTCTATGGTGAGCAAGGGTCAATTACAAATATTGAACTACAAATATTAAACTTACAAATATTAAACAAATATTGAATTAATTAAATACTTAATCAATTAATCAATCGATTAATTAATTAATCAATTAATTAATCTACTACACAACGTACACTTAGAATTGCCCCTATCTTTCTTACCTGTGGAACTTGCCGTCTCCGGATAATCTCAACCATGAGTTTCTGAGGCACAGACTCAAAATTCTTGCTCATAATGATGTTGTTGTAGTTTGCCTCTCGAACAATGAAGCGAAGGCAGAAATCCTGAAAACAACAAGAACAAGAAACCAAATAAACAATGGACAGAAAAACTATCATTCTGGACCTTTTATTCAGTCCTAATATTAACTAGAAAGGATTTGGACGAATATCTGTGCAAATTTTATAATTAGTCTAAACAGTTTCTAGCTTTTGTCATCACTCCCAAGGGGGAATGTTCGTTCTCACTATATCCTCTTTCTTCCTCCTTTCCCCCACCCCAACCCACTCGAAAAAAAAAGTATGCGCTCATTCAATAGCTATTGATCAAACTCTTGGCACACTCTCCTATCGAGTTGTTCCATATTAACTTCACCGTTATGAACTGCTAAAACTAGAAGAGTTTGGAAACTACTAAAATTAGGAATAGTCTGGTTGTGTTTGGGAATCGTTTGGGCCTGTTAGATTATCTTAAAATCCTTATGCGAGTTTTGTGAGCCTTGGTTTGTCAGGTGCTTCAAGATCAAACATTTATTTTTACCTTGTAAGTGATGTGTCCGTGACCGTTGTAATAGGGCTGAGTTCTCGTACGATGATTTTGTTAAGGTTTTTAGTTCGCGAAGATTGGTTGTTTATTCAAGTACTTTGTTGATCATTTCGAATGTCTTGTGAAATTGTTTGGGTTAGCTTTCTAAAAATATGTTTACTCTGCCGAGGTCAGTTGTCCCGTAAGCCCATACATGCCTACCGAGAGGATATTTGAGAGCATGGACTTAGGGCTGAACGAGAAAAACACAGAGACTCAGTCATTCATCATGATCAGATGAAGAGCCCTGAAGAGCCATTAAATAGAGAGTGAATAAAAGTTCCTGACCAGACTCCTGGTGTCGACGTTTGCGCGAGTTGCTCAAGCTAGTTAACCCCAACAGTCCAACATTGTTCTTGTTTTTGTATGCAGATATAACACGGGGTAAACCTTGATCGGGTTTCGAGAACCTGACCCTCGAGGCCTGAATGGAGAGGTTACGTGAAAAGTAAGTGTCGTTTTGTAAAGTTCCAGCGATCCGTATTGAAATTTCTAAAAAGGTTTTTGACTCAGTTCACTTTGCCACAGAAGAAGAACACAACGACGCAAATCTGTCAAACCTTTAGGGGATCCAGCTGCAGTCGAGCGGCGCTGTCAAGCGCTACAAGAACGTTCTCTTGACAGATAGAGGACTCGATGTACTGTACACATAGCGCTTCAAGTGCACCAATTTCAAGCTGGGAAAATAATAATAACAAAGCTAAGTTTTACTCTTTTCGTATATGTATATTGATTAACCGATATGCGGGGCTCGCTTACACAAAATGTTGTTTAACATATGGTTGTAAAAAGTTATATACACATGGCAAAAGGCTGTCACACAACCGATGGTTATTTTTCATCACAGCACAAGATTTGTGACAACGTTCCATTAAAGCGCGCCGTACAGGAAATTTCAGCCCGTTCGTGTTTTTACTGTATATTCTTCGTTTGTCTAACCCACAATCTCATGATCTTTGTCTTTGTTACTACATTCAACACTCTAAACGTACATGTATTTCTTTACTGTAAGAAAAATGAGGTTTCTGATATTCATCCAATTAGCCATGTCATCAGTAAAATCATTAGGTTCCTAACTTTGTGAGGTCATTGTTGTTCAAATTAAGCACATGTGTAATTGTCTTCATCCTACCTTCAAAGCCAACCTGTACACATCCATGATAAGACTTATTTCCTGTAAACCCTGGCAATCTGTTTGGAGTAAGTAAAAGGTTTTTTCACAGTATTCATAATCTACCAAAAGTCTTGAAAATTTTGCCCATACCCAGTATGAAGGTGAAAATTGAATGAAACCTTTCACGAACATTTAATTAGTGAAAGAGGGGAATATTTGAACGAAAACCTTACAGCTCTCATTGGGTAAAAATAATAAAGAAAGAACCTGTTTTGGATAGAATGGATCGTGAATGAAATTTTGTAAATTTTTAGGCGCGAGATTACAAATGAATGATGGAGGTTTCAAAGCAACGTTAACAGGGTTGAATTTCGACTTTTTATTGTCTGTCTACCGATGTTTTAAACTATGTAAGTGACGGAGGAAAAAAAATCATCACCTTTCACCAATGGGAAGATACAATCTGTATACATATAACGAAGAGTCACGGCGAAGGACTGTACTTCAACTTCCGGGAGCTTTACTTCTGGTTTGTCCACTTCTTGATCCTGATATCTGTCTCCATCTACTCTCTAAAGTTAGAGAACACAAGAGTTACAATACAGCTTCAGTATTTCCACGATGCTTACAGCACCATAACAGCTGGTAACCTTAAGCGGTATACAAATATCACAAGTGAGTCTAGTTTTCCTTTACATTGCACTGAATACCACGCACTGTGATTGACACTTTCCAATCATTTGTACTAGCTCAGAGACGGGGCTGACTTAAGTTTATATATAGATTGTTTTGTTCGATCCCTCTGACAAAGCACACTACTTTTTGACGCACTCGCTTTCGGCTCGTGCTTGCCTTTTTCGTTCTTACCTCATTTGAGAATCATCTGTGATCTATAACTGACAAGAAACACGACAAATACCAGAACTAAATAGCAGGCTGATTGTCTGACCTTTAACTTTTCTCTAGCACGCAACAACTGTTTCCTCAGCCACGGCGATCTGGCCGCAACAAAGGCCGCGTGGGCCAGGAATCGAGTTTCTTCCTACAAAAAAATTATATCTTTGACTTGCTTTTAGTTAAAAATACACGATCACTGAATACCTTCCCTTTCCAAGAAACAGAAAAGAAACAGTGAAGAATAATTGGATAAATTTACAAATGGTATAAAACGAGCAACAAGATTATTGTGCTAACCTTGCCAACAAGGAAGACCATGTCACAGAATTGTTTGCTGTCCAACAACCGACCAAAATCACCTCTGAGAGTACAGCGGGGATAACTCGCCAACTGCAAAGGTACAAATGTTTATGACAACAAGTCAGCTTCGAGTCCACTTGGACATTTCTTGAAAAATTCTTAAATTATTTCTCATAAGATGTGTTTCTTTTGTGTTTGTGACCGTTTACAGTTAGAGAGTAGACAAGAGCCATCATAGCTAAATTCCAATTATCATTATTGTCAATATTACTGTTATTATCATTATTATTCTTGTGTCAAGACTGTTACCTGTTAAATAACATGACAGATCTTGATTATTCTTTGCCTAAAGCTTTTTCCTTTTTTTAAG